GTCAGCATCGACACTACCGAATCCGGTACTTACACGTGTATATCTTGTACATGTCATACCCTCCAAATTTATCGGACCCCAACAGTCGTAAATTTAACATTTTTTATTTTAACCAGTTTTGGGGTTGTGCTCTGTCTTGTGTGAGCCACTTGTGTAGTCTATTAAATAAATTCACTTTGATTTTCAAACACGCAATAGTAGAAGAGATTAAAAAATAATTAAATAGATGTATAGTTTTTGATAAAGTGCATATAAAACGTTAGATTTAAAAAAAAAAAAAAATAGATGTATCAATATGTGTGTTTCAATTAATATGTTTTTGTCCAACGTTATATATTCATAAAAAATGAAGATGCAAAAAGAAATGTTTTGAGCAGGACAAATCAAATAAGAACTAATTAAGGTGTAAGTGTCATACATGGAAAAGAAAAAGGTGTTTATATAAGTGCATATTTTAGTATAATTATTACAATAATGGTCTTTTAAGTATAACACATCTTTTAAAAAAAAATAAAATAGCAAACCAATACATCTTTTAAAAAAAATAAAATAGCAAACCAATTTAGTTATACAGGAGGAGACAAATGTTTGCTTAAGGGTGTATTCGAAAATATATATATTTTAGTGGAGTAAAAACAAAAAAAAAATTAACTAAACACATGTAACCTAAAATATATAGAGAATTGTGAGAAAACTATTTGAGCAATGACATATTGTAAAATACATTGAATGAAAAATTAGAGCAGAGAAAAATAATCCAACAAAGTACATTCAAAAATATATGTGAAAAATATGGAAAATGAAAAGAAATATCAATAGAAGACAAATATGTAAATAAAAAAATAACTGAGGGCACAAAGAACAAAAGCAAGAAAAAGTTTGAAAAAAAAAAAACGAAACGGGAATGAAACTTTTGCCACCTTCTAGGCCCAAAAGACAAAAGTCCCGTTCATTTTACTGATTCGAGTTTAGAATTTGAGTTTTGTTACAATAAAAAACTCACAAAAACAGTCAAATTTAAAAATCTCTCATATAAAATCACATATCAATTTAAATTAAAAACTCGAATCAATAAACTAAACATGCCCAAAACATATTAAACTATAAAAGTTAGGAGACCCAAATGAAAAACTTGCTAGTGAAAAAATATATGCGTTGTAAAGAGGCCAATAAACAACACATATGTTTCTTCACTTGCAAGCAGTTCTTCATTTTAGTCCCTAACTTTTATTAATATGGGTCATTTTTTGACTGACTGCATTGTTTATTGACTTATTCATTGATCAAGATATATACAAGCACTTTTTTTTTCTAAAATTATTAAACAGAACTTTGTCTAATATATTTCAGAGAACTCTGGGTCTTCAGATTAAATATTTTAATTATTCAGTTTTGGAACTTTTGAAATCATGCAATGAATCATTTTCTGGTCCCATATATCATGGCAGACGCAGGCCACAATCAGAATCATGTCATTTTGAATAATTATGAGCACCAAACACTTCTTTTTAAGCAACATAATTAATTGAATTTAAGAACCCGCGAAATGTTTCGATTAACATCACAAAATTATTATTATTATTATTATTATTTTTTAAGGATTTGTCAAACAAATAGTAGTTATTTGGCAATCAAAATGAAGAACTAATGTCATAAATTGACCAACATCTCTTAATTTGCTACACACACACAAATCAATATGTTGTATGCTAGCTACTAGCTAACTTGTAAATGTTTCTCGCGGACGAACTTAGAAAAGGTTTTTCCAACATATCAAAAATTGAACAAGGTATACATTAGCTAATGCTCAGGAATTTTAAGATGAAAAGAACAATGGTTAAATTAGAGAATCAATTACATTAATATATATTTATTTGCGAGATACTATAATACATACACTGTTTATATATATACAGACACAAATTAGATTTGTAACTTTAATTTCTTTTGCATCGGGACTTGAAAAATTGGTTATATATATGGCCCTACTTGTTGCTAGTTAAGTTGTTTTAAAAATAAAGAAAAAAAAACAAATATGAAAGGACAATTATAGATGTGTAGATATGTAGACGAGTTTAAATATTATAAATGCATTAATTATTAGAAAATTCATAAACGGTTTTAGAATTCGAGCACTAATATATTAATTAAAGGGAATTTTTCTGATAGGATCAGAAAAATGAACTATCAATAATTTTATATTTTTAGTTGTTAAATCTATATTACAAATTGTTTATTCTGCATATTGTAATTTTGACATGATTTAATGATTATAGACTGACACTGCCGATAAGTTTAGCTACCAGAGAAACTCCAGGAGCTTACAAATACATCATTTTTTCAGGATATACTTCTATTACTAGATAATATATCTATTATTCATGAAATACATAGAAACGATATTTATGCATACTACTTTCACTATATTTTGAACCTAAAATTTCGCATAGTACGGATTCTGTCTAAATCCCACCACACAACTCAAGATATGGTCATAGACCTAAATCATGCTTCAAGGACCTCTATGTAAGCCGTAGTTTGGTAACTAAGGAACATAAATAGACTTATTTTATCCGGTTTAATTAGACCATCGGTTTACTTAAGAGGTCTCGTGTCTATAAAGAATTAGGATAACATGAGTTATGAAAAACATTAGATAAAATCCAATACAATTTACCCAAAGTCTAATTTTAATTACCAAAAGTCACTACACAGTACATAGGCTAAATGACAAAGTGGCATTTTCTCCCCTATGCTTTTTCTTTCTTCTCTCTTTTCTCTCCCACACGTTCTGATGGTTAGCGTGCGCAACTCCCAAGGCACGGAACATATTACACTAAAGGGGAGAAACCCTCTCTCTTCTGAGGCATGGTACTTTCTTCCAACCTACTTAAAGAAGAACCACATTTCAAATCAACAAAAACCTTTGATTGGTTGCTCTAAACACAAACAATCACCCTCTAGGCAAGGCTACCTCTGCAACTAAGAAAAACTCCATTAAATTAAACCACCAAAAAACGTCCGCTGGACGTAGCTTTGGACAGCCACTTCAGCCAAAGTTCAAACTTTTTGAGGGAAGATTTCCGCCCTCCTCTTCTTGGGCCCCAACCTTTGCCTATAAATACCTCCTCATTTCTTCCTCAAAACCATCTCCAATCCAGCCAATAACACATGCAAAAACCTGGAAAAAACAAAATGGCTAGAAGAGGATACCCTCTTCAACAATCTATGCCTTCCAGCTAAGCTCCTCGAGGACAAATAAGTCCGGGAGTTCTTCCCCACTCTAAACACACGTCAAAACCCAACATCATCACACCACAACAAGCTCAAAAACTCTTCCTTTAGCTGGTCAAATATCTCTCGGTATCTTTGGTTTACCAGAATACTCACCAAAGAGCTTCAATCTTCATAATTTCTAGTAGAGTTCCTCTAGAACAAGTTTCTAGGCGCCTTCCGCATTAGAAATGGCTAAGCTTTTAGAAAAACCCTTGAGAATACCCGACTATGGCTTAAAATACCTAAAAGTTCACTCTTTTTGACCGACGTACTATGTCTGACGCAATTCCATGGCTAATCCCCACAAATACATGAATATATTTTTATTACACATTTAAGAGCTTCCTCCATAAACTGGTTACGGTCCTTTCGTACATCGACTGCTCACCTAGAGGTTTTCATTGGAAACTCTTTATCGCCAAGGAGCCAGAATAATAACTAGTGTCTCCCTCGGATACCGCTATCCTCGAAATCATCCGGGTTTAGCCTTATCTAGCCTTGGCCAACATTGTCACTCTGGTCACTTTCGACATCAAAAACACATTTTGCAACTTGTCAAGCCACTATCGCCCGACGTATCACGGGTCACGACCGACGCTCATACAACTTATACCAATCAAAAGAAGCCATGAAGGACGCAGCCTCCACGTCGATAGGTCCCCGCCAAAAGAGCCCTAATAGGATTTAAAGTTCATATTTGGAGCTGACACGTGTTCGTCTCACATGTGATCTTAAACTGTTTTTTACTATAATTCACTGTTAAACTAAGTCTACCTTCCTCTTTCATTTGGCCATGTTCGTTTTCTTAGTTCGAATCACAACTTAAATTTTTGTTGTAATGTTTTTTCTCATAAAAATTTAAATTTAAATTTTTTATTTTGCTACAGTATTTTCTTTTACATAAATTCATGTTTTAACGTGAGTTTTTAACTTAAATAAGTGAAACAAACGGACAAAGTGACCGGTCCTTTTTTTCTATTAACTATCTAATTACTCCTTCCACCCTTGTTTGATTTCAGCTTGTTCCTCTTCAAATTTCTGTTGAATTTTGCAGATCATTTTACTGCGATTTGCCAACAAAGAAGGTCCTAAAGGTTTCTCTCTATTCGATTTTCCTTGAGCCTAATCAACCCTGCAAATTTGTTGGAGGTCTTGCTATAATTGATTTGCACGTATCAACATCTTCTCTAAGTCACATTACATTCATAAAAAAATTTATTATAATATCGAAAAAACACATATGAATATCGAAAGTCTTATTCTTTTCACAACTCAAATATTTTTATTATAATATTTTTTTTCTCACATTAAAAATTTTAAATTATAATCTGAGTTATAAAAAGAATACATTTTAAAAAGATACAAATTAGACTAGATGTCACAAAGTCTAATTATTCATTTTATATTTAAATTAAGTGACTTATTCGAACACCAATTCCCCAAAAACACTACTCCTCTCCTTCAGCCCTCCAAGAGAGTTTACTTCTAACAACCAAAAAAAAAAAAAAAAAAAAAAAAAAAAAAAAAAAAAAACCCCTAAAAAAATAAAAAAAAAAAAAAGAATAAAAAATGTAGAAAAAATGTACGAATTCCTAACTCGTAACCTTGCGCCTCAGTCCTAAAGTCCCGTGGATTTTTCTGGGCTTGAGCCCAATTTGCCGAGGAGAGGGGAAAACCAAAGATAAGGATTTGGGCGTTCTCTGTTATGTGGGAGCCCAATTACGTGAAATTCTCCATGTTCGAAGAGTAGAGAAGAGCGCGAGGCGAAGAAGAAGCAGAGGAAGAAGAAGAAGGGGATTTCTCTCTCTACACTCTACAGATTTTAAGATTACAGGAAGATAGAGACTGGATTTGAGCAATGGACGAAGAGAATATACTGAAATTCGTATCGGCTTACTTGAAGAAGAAAGGATTCAAGCAAACCGAGCACGCATTCCAAGAGGAGCTTCAACATAGCAAGACCACCAACTCCTCGTCGTCCCAAATCTCCTCCAATTCCCAATTCGACCCCGATATCGCCAAACAGATTCTCTCCTTCGCCGAGTAACTTTTTCATCTTCATTTTGTTGCTTCTTTGTCTACTCTTTCTGTTTTTTCGTCACTATGATTCTGCATGTATTTGTGTAACTTTGAATTTAAACAATGTTTTTATTGATTTTGGGAAGCATTGGAGTGTATATAAGTTGATTTCACTGAAATTGGCTTGAAAAAGGAATGATTTTTGGGAATTTTGTTGAGTTTAGGTCGGAAATAGGGTTTTTTCTTACCAGTACTTAGAAGTAGGTTTAATAGTCTCAATTAGCACTAAAATATTGAATTTCAGTTTAATATTGTGAAATCTCATAATTTAGAACAAAATAAGGTCACTACAAATACGTATACATTATTATGTCTTTGATTCGTCAATTTAAAACAATGCCCTTTTTTTTGTTTTTGTTTTGTTTCCCAGATCGGAGAACGGTCCTACACGATATCAGGATGGTTATAGCAAGTTGAGGTCATGGACTTATAGTTCTCTGGATTTGTATAGGGTAACTAATTTTTTGTGTCCTATTTCAAATTTTTTTTTTTTTTCCAACAGAATTTACGTTTATGTAGCCTTAATAAAAAAAAATATTTTTTGGTTGCAGAATGAGTTGCTTCGTGTGCTATATCCAGTTTTTATCCATTATTTCATGGATCTAGTTGCAAATGGTCACCTTCAAGAAGGTATGGTTTGATCTTCACGCCCTTGTTGAGGGATAGGTTTTATTTTTTATTTTTGGGTAAGAAAAACTTGTTATTATAGTTTTCTATTGTTGCATTTTTTTTGTTGACTGATTTCACAGTTTCATGTTTATGAATTGGCATGTCCAGCTCGATCCTTCTTCAATAGCTTTCGTGAAGACCATGAAATAATGCACTTACGAGACCTCCAGAAACTGGAAGGAGTTCTCTCTCCATCTCATCTGGAGGTCAATTACTGTTCAAATACTTGATTATTGCATTCTCGTTTCCATTCTTCAAAATTGTGAAGCCTGGAGGATAAAACCTTTGCTGTTCTTTTTACAGGAGATGGAATTCGCTCATTCTCTTAGACAGAGCAAAGTCAACATAAAGATGTGTCAGGTACAAATTTTGGTTCTTTTTTGTATATACGCCGGTGCAAGTATTTTACACGTATCATGGAGTAGAATGTTGATTGTCTCATGGTTGTTATAACAGTTGGATTAGGTAGATGCATGAGAATGCAAACTACCAAAAAACTTATTATTTTTCGTCTTGTCAGTACTCGTATGAGCTTCTGCTACAGTTTCTACATAAGACCCAATCCACTACTATACTTGGGATTATCAATGAACATATCAACTTTCGAGGTATATTTTTCTGACTCTTGCTTACTGATTATATAATTATCCTAATATACTTTTTCTCGCCACTTATGTGATATCTACGCATGAATACTTGTTTGCAGTTTATCCCGGACAGCCCAGCTCAATTTCAGATGATACCGAGGTTGTGACACTGACTGGAAGCAGCCAGGACGCAATCAATCAGGTCAATGAGAAGGAAATACATTGGGGGGTGAGTTAACAAAGCTACTATCACGTGTCTAAATAATGTGTTTGTGTGAGTTTTTTTTTCCCCTCCATTTCTTGGTTTGAAATTTGAATCCTTTGCTGTATATTGAATCTCATTGTTCTGGAAATTGGACACATTGTATTTTAGACCATGTTATTGCAATGCATACAGTGATGCATACTGGTATTTGGAAATGGAAAATTTCTCCAGTTTCTCTGTCTATAATTAGTAAATTTTTTTGTGCGACTTGCTTTACCTTTCCTCCCTTTAAATCCCTTGAATTTCAGCATCTATCTTGTGCTTTTGCTTTTCGATTTTTTGGTACATGTTTGTTAGCGTTGAGAAAATTTCTGGTTGTTGCCAACATTTCCATAGTTGCTCGAGGATTCCTTGGAAGAACGCCTGGAAAAGACTGGAGGTTTGACTTCAGATTCTGAAAAGGCAGAAGGTGAAAATAAAGAGCCGGACTGGGATGACAATAAGGTGCATATGTTCTTCAACTGCTCTAACTATTCACACATGTGTAATATAATTCTTGTCCCAAATCGATCTGACATCCACTCGTATTCTTTAGTCATCTGGATGCTTATCATTAAGTGTTGTGTTTCAGAAAAAACCAGTGGAAGGAGGAAAGCAGGGTTCTTCAATTAAAAAGTTAAAAAAAGATAAGGCTGCTGGTGCAGCTGGGAAACCCACACGTTCTGAGACAACCACTGTAGTTATGGCACCGAGAGTCAAACCAGAGCTTGCTTTGCCTACAGTGTATTTTCTGAAATCTCTCTTGAATTGTGTTGCATATTAAATGGCTCTTTGGTAATATTTTAACTTCGGTCTGATGGTGCCAAGAAAGTAAAAATGTAAACAAGCCAAGATAAGTAGAACTATATAGTGTTTTTTTTTTTTAAAAAAAAAAAAAAATCTTGTAAGGCCTTGTGGAGGGATTCAGATTAAGTTTCTATGTAAAAGATAAATTAATCTTTTTTTTTTTTGATACAATACGGGATTGAACCCGCAACCCCCACCCAAACCCCCCAGTGCCACTAGACTAAGAGGTCTTAGACAAGATAAATTAATCTTTTATTTATTTATTTTGCTTCAGTTCAGCAGAGGTTGAACAGTCTATACTCGAAGACTTGAGAAATCGGGTACAGCTGAGCATTGTTGCCCTTCCATCCGTTAGTCTGTATACATTTGTCAACACACACAATGGGTAACGTTTTCAAATTTCTTTCCAATACTATTCTTTTGAATCGAGGTTTTATGTTTTCCCCCCTCTATTGCTTATTGCAATCTTTTTCTTTTTCTAGATTAAACTGTTCATCTATATCCAGTGACGGATCTTTGGTTGCTGCTGGATTTTCTGATTCATCATTGAAGGTTTTTAAATACTTTCACGATTTTCCCGTTTCTGCGTGTCTTATTATTCTTAATATTTTCTAATCCTGGAACAATTTTCTGCATAGGTTTGGGATATGGCAAAGCTGGGGCAACAATCTGTTGACTGTAAGTCCTACATTTTCTTCCTGTGTGCTTCTGGGAAATGTGTTGTTTCATTTTTTGATTGGTTGTATGTCTGCTATAACAGGTAGGGAAAAAAAGTATCTTTCTTTTGGAATTTAGTCAAGGGATATGTAGGCATACATTTATGCTTCAAAAACATGGAAAAGCAGTTTCTTCCATTTCTCTGAACAGAATTGCAAACTATTAGTGTGATATTGAATAGTTGAGTGTCGTGGGGGCCAAAGCTAGTTATGCATGATAATATCCCTTTGTAGTGTGTGGGTTTCCTTGTGGTAGATATTCTTGTCAAAGCCTGATTTAATGTAAAATAGTTGTGGCCTCAGCTGGTCTGCAGGGTGACAGTGAGACAACCCCAAATGAATTTGGTACATCTGGAGGAAAAAGATCCTATACGCTGTTTCAGGGTCATTCAGGACCGGTTTATTCAGCTACTTTTAGTCCTTTAGGCGATTTTATTCTTTCCTCTTCAGCCGATTCAACAAGTATGTTGTATCTATTTTTTTCAACACACTCTCTCTCTGCCCAACCCTACGTCTTGTTCTTTCTATAATTTTCATTAACTGCTTTATGAAAGAATTAAATTGCTTGCTTGCAGTTCGGTTATGGAGCACTAAATTAAATGCAAATCTTGTTTGCTATAAGGGTCATAATTACCCTGTATGGGATGTTCAGGTATGCCTCTTAGTCGTCTGAACTGAAGGTTGTTTATATCTGCCTAGTCTTACAGTCGATGCTGTAGATTTCATCCTCTTTTTGCATTAGATACTTGCTCTTGACAACTTTAAGGGTTGTAGTTATCTCATTGTCCAAATATGTTCATTTCGTCTCATGAGGCGCTATGTTCATGAGTAGTTTGTATTATATCTCCATTGTTGATTCATCTTTTTGTTGGTGTTAAAGCATCTTTGGAACTTCAATTCTTAATGTCCGAGTGCAGGGGATTTGAGATGCTCGTTACTATAGCTTTCTGCTCTATCCCTTTCACATATGTTACTTAGGCGTCTTTCAGGCTTGATTTATTATGGTTTCCATGTCTTCTAACATTTTCACATTCATTGTTATGATTTCTTGGTGCAGTATAGTCCTGTTGGACACTATTTTGCCAGTGCATCACATGACCGTACAGCACGAATTTGGTCTATGGACAGAATCCAGCCTTTACGAATATTAGCAGGGCATTTATCCGATGTTGATGTTAGTCAGTCTTTCTTTATTATGTCTTGGAAAGTATATTTCTTTAGATTTCCATATGTTAAATAGGATTGCAAATTGAAGTCTTTATTATTATTTTCTTCCTGTGCTGTATGAGACATCTCAAAATACAGCATCTCAATTAGTATCTATGTTATCTATGTTTCAATTCTGCTTTCATCGTAACAGTGTCTCCAATGGCATGCCAACTGCAACTACATTGCCACTGGTTCTAGCGACAAAACAGTTCGATTGTGGGATGTCCAGAGCGGGGAGTGTGTAAGAATATTCATTGGTCACAGGAGTATGATTCTGTCTTTGGCGATGTCGCCAGACGGTCGCTACATGGCTTCTGGTGATGAAGATGGTGCAATCATGATGTGGGATCTTTTGAGCGGCCGATGTGTTACACCTTTGATGGGACACACCTCATCGGTCTGGACGCTTGCTTTCAGGTTGATGATGTTTCCGTACCCTCAATAACCATATCTTGCAATGTAATATAGAATAATAAATAATACATCAAGTTGTTTGTATGATTTTTATTTATTTATTTAAATGGCAGTTGTGAAGGCTCGCTTCTTGCTTCTGGGTCTGCTGATTGCACCGTAAAATTATGGGATGTAACTTCAAGTACGAAAGTGTCAAGGACGGAAGACAAGTAAGTTATTTCATAAAGTTAATTTTCTGGAAAATTTTCTGCTTAATAAAGACTCACTGAGGATGTATACCTTGATCAGCAAAAGCGGAAATACAAGTAGACTCAGGTCATTAAAAACTCTACCGACGAAGTCCACTCCCGTCTATAGTTTGCGAGTAAGTACCTTCAAAAGAGCTTAGTGCATGATTGGTTTGAGGATTCAAATGACCCTGGTGTTAGTTCAAACAGTGTTTTTTTTCTTAAAAAATTTAAATTTAAATTTAAAAAAATCTACTAATATTTTTTCTCACAAAATTTGAATTTTATGCTGCAGTTTTCTCGGAGGAATCTTTTATTTGCAGCTGGGGTTCTATCGAAATAGTTCTTTCTGACATCACCAATCACCAAAATACTTGAAGAGAGAGAGAGAGAGAAATAGAGAGAGAGAGAGAGAGAGAGAGAGAGAGAGAGAGAGAGAGAGAGAGAGAGAGATGGCGGGCTGGCTGCAGATCGCTGTGTAAAATTTTGTCATTTTTATACGCTTTTTATTGTTAATTGCATCAACCTTAACAATATTTTTAGTTGGAAGCATCATAGATGCCTTTTGGCGGTGTAGGAATTTTTTTTTTTTATGATAATGAAAATAGATAATTATAAATCAAACTATGCCCCAATTTCCTCTATCCTCACGGCATCTAGGGCTATATCGCAAGAAATTTGTAGGATATCAATTTTGGACTCTTGTCCTTTGATGTATTTATTTATTTATCAAAACAAATAAGTAATGTGACGACTGACGATTGACTTTTTCCCACGACAATTATTGCATATATAAATGCTAATGTCAATATTGTATTTGACAAAATTAAAAGTACAAAAATGACATGTTAAGTTGACATGAAAAGTAGGGGTGACAATTCGTGTCACGTGTCGTATTCGTACCGTACTTTAATCGTTTTTTTTAAATTTATAGTTAATTTAAACACAACTCGTGACACAAAATTCTTTAAAAAACGCAACACGAACAAGATACGATCACTTTACGGGTTGGCACAACACGATACAAAAATGACCCGTGACATGAAATTGATCTGTGAACCTGAAATTGACACGAAAATTATATACATTTATTTATTTTTTTACATATTAAAAATAACTTAAAATTCATAACACACTAAAATACAATAACATCTATTGAAATTAAGCAAATAATAGTATAAAATTTTGAGTATAACTATCATGATATCATAAGTTCATAATAAAATAAAAAATATGTAATGAAAAATATATGTATTTTTTAGTTTTTTACGAATTTCGTGTCGTGTTCGGGTTAGACGGGTCCAACCCGAAATTGACCCATATTTTTCATGTTAATTTCAAATCGACCTAATTCTGACCCGAATCTCTTTTTTCTCAACCCTAACCCGTGAAATTCGTGTCATTTTTTAGACGTATTATCGTGTCGTGACTCATATTACCGCCTCTAATGAAAAGTTTTAGTTATTAAATAAATTAAAAGTGAAAATATTGCAATTATAGCGTGAAAAAGTAAATACAAACACTATAACTAAAACACCAACACCGTTCATTTTACAAATTCGAGTTTAAAATTTAAATTTTAGTACAATAAAAAATTTTAAAAAAAATCACGTTTAATTTTTATACTATCAATTTAAATTAAAAATTTAAATTAGTAAACTAAACGAAACTTAAATAAATAATTTAACTTTTGTGAGAGAAAGATGCGAGTTGAATTTGATTTTTTTTTTTTTTTTTAAGAAAAGCATTTAAGAAGACATAAAAAGATGCTTAATTGATTTTGGTTTAACTGTTATAGTTTCGAGGGTGCATTACATCGGCGAGCGTGCCCTCGATATTCCCCCCTGGCTCTTGATCTGTTAAGCCGTGCACATCTCATCATTTAACGGCAAGTACACGAGTACATTTGACAGCACAAATTGATAATAAAGCCTTCATAAATTCATTCCAAATCACGCAACACGGATTGATTCCGAGTACATTGCCAGTACGGATGACCGAGTTCCATTGACGTCTTCCGGTGTACTTGCCATTACCAAATTAGAGAGCCAAAAAAAAACAAAAACAAAAACAAAAACAAAACAAAACAAAACAAAACAAACAAAACCAAACCAAGTTGGCACTTTCACCTAATTTTCGTTGGTCATTCTAAACCTATTTTCTAGGTGGGAAATATAGAAAATAAACATCTAGCGGTACTAAATACCAAAACATAGCAACAAGTTAAAAATAGTTGCAATTACATAGAGCACTTCACGCAAGTTGATTCTTCTTTGCGTCTTGTTCCATCGAGTAAAGACGCCTGATACTTTGAAAAATTATAGTACCAAGTCTACTGCAACCAGCGAAACAAGTGTGTATACTTTTTGCCTGCAGCAAATATTAAGGGGACATCAACCTAATTTTCCCTTTTGTCTCCAGAATTCAATTCAATTCAGTTCAGAAAGATCAACTGTATTTAACTGTCGAAAAATAAATAGATGACATACTCTTCAAAGTAAAGCCCCATCATGATATGCTCATTAGTTGTTCTCATCACCAAAAACTTGAGGCTAATAATTATGTTCTCATTTCTTTTTTTTTTCCATAGTTCTATGTACTTCTCATGTACTAGTTATGTATGAGTCATGGCTCGCTCTTAAAACATTTTTAAGTAGTATATTAATCCACGAAGAAGTCGAAAAAGTTTCCCTAATAGTTTCTACTCTTAAAACTGCATTTTCCGTTGGTAACAAGAGAGCTAATAAAGTTATATCAATAGACTAATTATTAGTCTTACCACCAAGCAATAAAAATGTCTTTCCTTTTTCTCCAATCAAGATGCGCCCAGGTTTCAGTACTCGGTACCCCTAGTCAGATGTCTTGCTTGACCAATGCGGTGGTGTGAATGAAACTTCTCCCAACATTCAAGTAGAAATGGATCAGGTCCATTCTTTTCCATTAGTGGACCCCTGGAATTCCTTCTATACACTACTGCCACGGGCGGTGGGATGTCACCAATTATGAACTCCCTTTTAGATTAGCAAAAGCAAAAAAAAATAAAAATAAAAATAAAAATAAATAAATAATAATAAAGTAAAATCCAGTCTCAATACTTCAAGTGGACTTTGAGGAGTACTAACTATTATATATCGTCTTCATTACATAAAAAGAAGGATCGCCTAGTGAAATGAGAGGAAGAGTTGTGTAGACTCGTTAGGCTAGGGGCCTGTATTCATCAGCATTGTTTTCTTTGAGATTTTGGTCATTTGATGAAACCCTAACTACAAAAAATCAGGAAATCAAATATGAGAAATAATTTGCAGGAGCATCACAAATAGAGTCATTGGGCTAACTCCAAAAAATAACATGTCACAAATCAATCCTAAATGATATTATCAATTCCAATTCCTAAATACTTAAATTTCATAAGCTAGTAGCAAGAAGTACAGATTAATTATATGGAGAAAAGTTAGATACTATCAATTCCAATTCTGCGATTTACAGTTCTTAAATGATATTATCAATTCCATTTCCAAAATACTTAGATACTTAAATTCCAATTCCTATATACTTAAACTTCGTAAGCATCACAAATAGAGTCGTTAGGCTAGCTCCAAGAATTACACGTCACAAATCAATTCTGCAATTTATAGTTCTTAAAGATATTATAAATTCCAATTCCTAAATACTTAAATTTCATAAGCTAGTAGCAAGAAGTACACATTAATAATGTGGAGAAAAAACAACCATCTTTTATTTATTTATTTATTATTATTATTATTTTTGCTAGGAATGATGTTTAACAATTCCATGGTAAGAACCTGAGACATGTAGGATGAGATGACAACAGAGGTTACAGCTATTTTCTGCCAAAAATAGATAGAGGAATAAACTTTTTGCCGCTGAGATCTTCTTTGGGTAGCAGCAACACTTCCATGGCACTTAAACAAGCCCCTATTCACAAAATGGGATCAGAAACAAAACTTACAGCAAAAACCATAGACCACAGAAAGCAACATCTTTTCTACACTACATTGTTCTTCATGTATATATTAGTAACCTGGAGCTAACTAGAATGTCTACTTCTCAATATTTTTGTTCTTTATTAAACCCTTAAATTTTTCGTCAGATCAACTAGTAAGATTTATATAAATAATAACCAACATGATATTGTCATTTATGCGCCCTAGAATATTTCTCCTCACAAACGTCTATAATCTGATTCATGAACAGAGAAGAAAAAGATAAATTCACTACAAGAAATGAAATCACTACCCCCATATACTGTAGACAGTGAAGTGAAAGAGCTATTTATTTCCAACGTTTAGTAATTCATTACTTAGTACATGGATATATATCATTTTCCTACTACAAATGTACCAGAAATCAAGAGATTTTAAATTCCATATATTCTGTTTAATTAATTCTAAGCCACCAAGGACGATTCCCTAATTCTCATGAACCCTTTTTCACTTGGCCGAGACATCGAAAGTTATTAACTAATTAGTTTCAAATGAAAGTAGGATTACTTCACTTAATTAACTCATTTTAAACCTAGCATTAGATCAATCCCCAAGTAGAAGGAAGACTAGAAAGAGCCAGAAAACTGTTCCCTCCCTTGCAGAATGAGTTAATATACCACATCCACTATTCAAAATAGTAAGGTCTTCTCTAAGATGCACAAACTTGAAGCCATGGTCCTGAAATACTAATAAGCCAATGCAAATATCAAACTGTTGTAGAGGTCTAAACAATTCACTCAACAAATAAATAAACAAATAGATAAATAAATCAATCAATAAAAGCATTTGGTCCTTATATAACACCATGAGAACATAATTAGATAATACACACACACACACACATATATATATATATATGTATATATATATATATGTATATGTATTTGTATGTATACACGTTACGGAAAACCTAGGAAAACAGGTACGTTAAAGTCAAATTCCTCATCTTTGTCGACATGAAGCCATAGTACTCCTGGAAACACTGGTGTGAAACAATCCAGTATTTCGATATCAAACTCTAGTACGTGAAAGTCCATAAACAAAAGCATAATTGAAGGTTAAGAAGACAATAGCATGTTAAGATTTACAGGACCGGCAGAGTAGTTAGAAGTCCATCAACCCCATACAATGATTTACAATATAGAGCAATCTACATTACATTTGCACACAAGTCAAAATTAAAAACAAGTACAAAAAGGAAATTTGGCGATAAAATTACATTCACCAAGACTCATACTAGGTACTAGAACACCCTTGTAAAATCATGTCCTGTCCATTTTCAACTCAACACAAATTGAAAAGAAAAATTTCCCAGAAAACATTATTATATTCCTCTCTCAACATTTATATGAACGCCAAGTACTATGAACTCCAAAGAATTCTAAACTAGATCTCCATTTATTTCCCGACTCCTATTATAAATTAATCAACTGGAACCAAAATCTTAGACACATTTTAAGGTAAACTTTCGATTAATTATCTTATAATCCTCTGTGCATGTCATCAATTTTGTTGTACGAAAATCAAAATGCTATTATCTGCTTGGTTGATGTAGTATCCAATCTCATTTAGTACAAAAGCTAGCTATAGTAAGACAGTTTCAGTAATCATTTGGTCGCTGCTTTCTTTGTTCGCAAGCACTTAATGTAAGCAAAAGCAATATGTCATCTAACATTTCTCTTAGAAGCTTAAATTTCAAGAACAAGACGACGATCCATGTTTCCTTTAAAATAAGCTGCCATCATAACACAATCACTAACTGAAGCCAGCAATAGTTCTAACAAAATCATACTTAAATTACATATCTAGTTTAATTATTTACCTAAAGCTTTTGTTCTGGAATAATTAATCACAAAATCAAATAACATACCCGCTATTACAACTGAGCCCTTCCTCCAGTTTCATCCCACAATAGAAAGCCTCGTGCTACCACATTCAAATAAAATTCTAAAATCTAATTACTTGGACTGCAACTAAATCAAGAATTTTATAAGTCATTTTTTGAAAACTTTTGCTAGTCCAAATTAGTTACATACGAGCTGAATGAAGCCTTGAACTCATGTACTACCAATCGGGCAATCATAAGGATAAAATTAAAAAAAAAAAATCCACACCATTATTTCCATAAAAGGAAAAGTTAACCAGAAAATGAATCTTCAGCATCATTCTTATGTTCTCTTCAAAGAAAGATAAGCATAATAAAACACATTACCATGTTGGACAAGCATGATATTTTGTGTCTTCAATTGTCTGTATATTCACATTAAATGTCATATGATGTGGAATAGTTAACATCATATGCAACTCTTTTTCCTTAAATTAATTTCACAACCAGCAGTTCATCTAACCAATTTCAAAAATATGTTACTTTAAGAATTCATAAAACTAATTCCTTGGATGGGAAAAATTGAAGACAACAGCTAATACTCATTGCATGCCGCATTCATGAATCTAAGTGCACAACACCTAACTTATGTGATTAGCAAAATGTAGATATACGCACACACAACTAAATAAAGAGAAGAAAGAAAAGGAAGAACGCCCGTTCCATTATGTAACAAAAGAAATTATAATCGAGTACATCCTGTAGATAGATATTGAAATTAGGAGTCTTCTTAACTTCAAAACACACAAAAAAATAAAAAGACTTCTTGGATCCATCATGTAGGAATTTATTGCTAAGCAATTTATCTAAGATTTAATATATTCTATATTCATTCAATAAAAACACTTATGCTCACCAACATACACCTTAATAACTATATTGAAAATAAATAAACATAACTCAAACCACACAATCCTTTGTGATCTTTACCAAATATAATTAAGTTCCACACAAAATAATTGATCACCAGAGTATTAATTTTATGGCATATGTGGCTTCGGGCATAGTCTAAAGGTAATTATACACCTAACTCTCCATTACAAGTGGTCGAGTTCGAGTCCCAGATCCTTAAGTTCCAAAAAACAAAAATAAATAAATAAAATAAATAAATAAATAAATAAAAGAGTTTACGGTGTATCTTTAAAACTCTTAACATGAAATTATATGTTAAAAAAATCTGAACAATCCATAGATTGTTACCATCTGCGAAGTAAAACAAAGAGTTTTAAATTTTATACAACAAACTAGTGCCAAACTAAATTGTTGGTGATAACTTCTCAAGGAGCAAGTTATATCACATAATTAAACCGATCATACATTGACGTCCAAGAACATAACTTATCTTCTCCAGCAATTGTTGTTTCACTTCGAAAGCCTCTTATACGGTCTTGGAATCCTTTCCATATAGAAGAAACCCCTTCAACATAACAAGCCAAAACAATATATTTACATGATCATAGGTGGTTAAATAATATGTAAACTAGATTAGATTGCAAATGAAGTAATTGTTGAGATAATGGATGTCTTATAATTAAGGAAAAACAAATAGCGAGCTTAGTTGCATATGATAATATCTCTTAAATTAATTCCATAAAATAAATAGAATACCTACGTCATATATATAGATCACTTGTCAAGATGTGCATGTGGCTGCTGACATCCAAAAAGCTGTTTGCCAAGAAACTCTCCCTCGCTAACTTCCTAAAAAGTCAAACATATATGTTCCTACAAAAAAGAAGCTCAAACAAAAGTACCAATTTTCTGAATCGCCCAAATATTAGTACTAAATACTAACAGTAACAAGAGTGTACTACTCAAGTCATCATCAACACTTAAAACATCACATCAAATAACAACAAATTCAAGAAAAATTTGTGTACTTCACTTATAACAAAAGTACAAATATCAGACTTCTTCTATATTCTTTAAAGATAACGATATTAGGGATGTGGAAGTAAAAACCATTTCGAATCACCTCACAAGCAACCCTACAATATATCCTTAATTGTTTGTTGTACTTGAATTATAATTAATATATACATAGATACACACACACACACACACACACACACACACACATATATATATATATATGTATATATAGGGTTTGGATCACATTAAAATATACCACCTCGTTTACCATCACAAGGACAAACACAAGTCTACAAGAAACAACCAGATCGTGGCAAGATTCAGGTGATAACGAAGCCCAATGACAACAAATCCTTGCCTGAACATATATATCGCATGCGTTAAGGAATGATTAAGATCATGACGATGATAACAAGAAAACTGCAAAAGAAAAACAACGAAAAAGAATATAAAATAAACAAATTAATAAAAATTGTAATAACATTTCTTGGCGAGCGAGTGAAGAGTGAGGACCATGCTATACTAGTACTAGCTAGATTATAACGTGAATGGTCCCATGCTAATATTGTATATTTATATATTTATATATATATAATATTACGGTTTTTTGCCGCTAATTCCGCACAGTAATCAGACGTAACCGTTCTTCTCTCCATGAAAAGGTACGCTTTAAAGCTAGCTAGACAGTAGTTTTATTGATAACAATTACAATAATACGTAATAATGTTAATAATGCCTAACACGAAAATAGAAGGAAACAAAGAAAGCCCACTTACCAAATTCCAAAGGACTAGCTAGAAGAGATACGGAAGAAAAGTAAGAGTACCGATTTTTCTAGACTAATAGCTTCTGATCTTCAGGCGTTTCTTCAAGCTCCAAGAGGCCAAAATAGGTCGATTTCATAACATTTTAGAGAGAGAGAGAGAGAGAGATTTAAGATTAATGGAACAAAGATTGCAGGCCGGAACCAAAGACGATGAAAAAGGGAGTAAATTTCCGGCACTGGAAACTGACAGAAAGAGTAGCGAGCACGCAAAAGCAATAGCATACTCTTATGCTAAAGTCCTCTGTGTGCTCACTCTCTTCTGTC